TGCCTCCTAATGAATTGTCTGGTATATTCATTTTCACCTTTATGAAAGTTTCATATTTCCTATTGACTATAATAAATCCTAACATCTGTTTGTGCACTCAGCTACAAGTTGCTACGTGTATACATTTTCTACATACTTCTTACATCAGTTCACTAACTTTTATCAACTAAGGCTGCATGATACAACATTCATTTCCATAAGATAAAGACTTCATAAAATCAGAGTACTCATTTGATATCCATCAAATTTTACTAAACCATTTGGAAATTATAGTATAAAGGATCTCTGTCATAACATCATAGTGCTGATTATTGAAACATCACAAGTAAGATGATTTTAAAATAATGCTTAAAAGAAAACACTTAACATTAAATTTACCTGAGAAAGCATTACTGTAGTATCTCGAGAGTGTTTGCATAATATCTTTGGAATGCTGAGTCCATGGGGCTATCTTTCTATAGGTTTTTACTCTGTGGACAAGCTGAGAACCTCCGTATTGCAGAGAAAGCGTGTCTCCGTGATCTTCATATAATTCTTCAAATAATCTGAAGGAAAAGCAAAATATGCTATCAAACTGCTGAAAAGAGGTTTTAAGAGAAAAAATAATGAAGTATTACAATAGAAACGACTTTCTGTTTAATAAGTAATACATTTTCTCCTCCAAGTAATTCTGCCAGTTTTCAAAAGCAAGTATTCCAATAAAACATGCTATTGACTTACAAACACTGAAATATAAAGCTATGTCTCTATTCTTTAGTCAGATAAGTATGTGGAAATTTTATTCAGATACAATCATTACTAAGAAGGATTAGAGTCTAAGATTTTCACTGATTTATAATATATCAGAACAAATTCACACTACAGGATATGCACTTTGGTAGATTCAAGGAGAAGATTAGTATGTCCTACTAGCCTGCAGGGAGAATACAAACCGTATACCTTCACAAACTAAGGTATTTTAAATACACTAAATGAGACAGAACATGCCAATATCTGAAGGCTGTGTTTTCTGTGAAGTCCACTGGGAATGTACTTAACATGTCTTTTAAAAAACATCCCCAGTTATGATAATACTGGCTCAAAGGTACAAAGAGAATAAACATGACTTGTAAGAAATGCGAAGGGCAGTCAGATACCATTTGCTAGGGCCAGAAAAACATGATGTAAGAAGGAAGAAAGAGTCAGCTGCTAAGATGATCAAGGAGAGCTGGCTAAAAGCAACACAGTCCTCTAACATCATGTAGTTGACAGTAGACTCCAAACTTAGAGCAGTCCAAACTACAAAAATTACCAAGAAGCACCCCATCAATGACAAAAACAAGCCAAAAGTCTCAGAAAACAAGGCTATCCTAAGGAGATGACATCCAGTCTAAAAGATAACGGACTGAGAAGTGCTTCTCAGAAATGGAAGCTATGGAAGCTATGGCCTTGCTTGAGCAAGAAAATGACAAGGACAATGTCTTGCTGAAAAAGGCTGAAAGTGTAGTTAAGAGGCAAAACAACCCCAAAATCGACCAAAAAACCCAAACAAAAACACCAACACCCACATCTGTGGAAATGTATCTCACATCAGTGTATCAAAACACAATAACTCAGACATCTGCATGTGATACACTGTAGTATCTGAGAAGAAAGTCCTTAAGAGTGGAGAAAAGAGTAGAAATAAGCAAAACAGCAGCAACAACAGGACCACCATTAAAAAAAAAAACAAACCAACAACAAAAGCATATGCAATAAAGGGATAGTACTGCATAAGTAACCCAGCAACCATCTGACTTAAGTCCTCATCAAAAGGTTCTGGATGAAGAACACTTATCTGAGCAGCAAATCTATTTCTATAAAAAAAAAAAGATGACCATCAAATCTGCCCAAGGTTGAGTACAAACAGCTCCACTAGGAAGAAACAAATGCCTATTAACTTAGAAAAACCAAACCAAAACAAAAAGCCCCCCAAAAAACCCCACCAAACAGAAGCAAAGCAAAAATAAAACCACACAACAAAACAACAAACAAACAAAACCCCCACCCAAACCACTTGCCTCCACACAAACTGTTAAGAGCTCATGATGGCATGTATGAGAATATTCTGTTTGTTTCTTCGGTTTTGTTGTTTTGGGCTTAAAAAAACCAAACAGAACCCCCCAAAAAACCACAAGAGGAAAGACAGCAATCCTGGACAGCTGAAAGCTAAAAAGTTGGTTGAAGACAGTAACTGACAGGTAAAAGGATGATACCACTCTCAGAAATTTCCCAGTCAACCATGAGGGATTGATGAACGGAGTTACAATGACCCTTTGATAAAGGTTCACAGAAAGCTAAAAACTTTAAATTCATTACAGACATTGATCCACTTGATTTGAAAAGGACTTGTAGAATTAAATTACCCTTCCACAGCCTCAAAATATTAAGCCTGCAGTCAAGGACCAGTCTTCTGTTGAGAGAGTAGTTGTTAACTACGTATGATAAAAAGCTGCTAATATACAGTTTAGGAAACTTCCTAGATACAACAATTATGTTAAAGGAATCACTAAGAAATACAGCTTGCAGAAACGGTCCCATCATTAAGAATATTAATCTTGCTAGACACAAAATTGGTCTGTTCAAGACATATGGTTCTTTCATCCTTCAGGATGGCCAACTGTAAGAAAACGCTGACTTCAGAAATCTGGTTCGATAGAAATTCTGGATTGTACCCAGCCAGTGAAACTGTATGAGAAAAATCAGAAGTGTAAGGACAGTCAAAGAACACAAAGAAAAGCTAGTATTTCAGACACTTTAGCTAAATTAAGGAAGACAGACTGCTACAGATTAGCATTTTGTCCAGTTAGAAGGGAGTAAATGAAGAAGAACAACATGCAGGCAGCAGATACTCGATGTGAGACAGTGCGGGGAACAAGGATGCAGGAGGTCAAAGTGAAAGAGCACACAACGGAGAGACAGTACAGCACATGCCTGTCTGAACTCATTGCATTATGAAGCAGGATGTTTAAATTATTCCAAATACAGTAATTCAGAAACAAGTCTCAACAGATGACAAAATTAGTTTCAGATCTAGCACAACGAAGAAAAGAAAAAGTAAAATGCGGCCAGATAAAAGTAGCCTTTTATGCCAGACTAATAGCTACATTTCAGAGGGATAATGAGAAACACACTATCAGGAAAATCAGAGACAACACAACTACTATAATCTTAGTAGATGATGGTAAGAGATGGAAATTTGGGTGGCTGAGGCACAGAGGTGGCACAGGAGGGAGAGGAGAAGATAGACAAGAAACAGGACGCTTGTAGCGGGAAGCAACGGAGGGATTTTGTTAGGGGGAGATGAAAGGGAAAGGTGGTGAAGCTTAAAGAAAGATAGTAAGATGCAGCCTGAAGTGCTGAAATAAGTGGCAGCTGTAGGGGACACCACAGAGAGTGGAGGTAAGAGACCTGTCCACCTCCTGATCCCATCTGGCTAGAACCGAACAGTCCTGATTGCCAAGTCCCCAGTGGGCTACATGGGAACTGGTATTCGCAGCAGCAGTTGCCTGTTCCCAGAGGTAAGCACACAGCACGCGGCAGCTGGGACAATGGTGGATGAGAGGCATTGCTAGCGCACCGAGGAAGCCAGCCAATGGGTGCTCGTCCTGGCCATCGGACAGAGGCCAGGAGCCACCACTCACACAGTGAACCAACACGCTGCATGTGAGACCAATGCTGTGGCACACACCAGCTCCTGGCCCCAGGGAAGTGCTCGAAGCTAATGGGAGAAAGGAGCGGGACTGAAGGTGCATCTTGAGTAAAGGGACAGGGAGACTGAGTAAGAAAAGACCAAGGTCTTTTTTGAAATACAAGTTAGATCTCTATGTTCTAACACCAACAAACCACTTGTCAAAACCAGCAACGAAGCCCTAAGTTTTACAGTAACAACAGGTATAAGAAATAAAACCAATCAATTCAAGGACTCTCACATTAATTTCTGAAGCATATTCACAAGTTAAATAGCTTTGTTCCCCCTGACTCCCAGAGCATTTCAATTTAAACGCTCGGTTTTCTTAAATGGTTTGAGGATGCTTGCGTAAGTATCGCTGATACTTGATCTGAGAGAATAATTTTGCTGAAAACTTTCCTTCAATAAACCAAAAAGCACAAAATTTTTCCAAAGCAAAAACATGAAATAGCAAGGTAGGATGTACTTCTACACAAGTATCAGTTTGGCATTCTCCACAAAAGCATGTACTCATTTCAGGAGGTTTTGTTTGTCTGTTTGTGTTCCGCGGTTGTTTTTTTTTTTTGCATTTCACTCAAGCAACTGAAGTGTAAAAGACTGGGGTGGGGGTTTTGCCCATTTATTCAAAATGGAAACTATTCACTTTAAGTTTAGGCATATAAAAAGACTGAAGATCAAGCAGTTACCTTTTGAGAAGCCTAACATACTCTTCCAGAAGCGCAAGTTTTCAGCATGACTGGATTTCCTCAAGAAAATTTCAAGTATGGATGATTTTTTAAACTTGCAGGAATAAACACTGTTAAATCACTCCAAAAGAAAGAATTGCACTCTTCTATATAGACATACGTTTCCTAAATCTCTTTACACTTCATTTAAAAATAAAACCATGACATGCTTTATTAATATATCTTACCTAACAGCATCTGTATCAAATTGTAAATTAGGCTTATCGATCAATCCCAACGAATAGAGTTGGTATGCCAAAGCACATTTTCCCACCATAAATTGGGCTGTGTTAGTGCGATCCAAACAATCCACGCAGTTGGTTCGGAGAACTCCAGTCTGGTAAAGCAATCCAAATAAAAGATTTTTATTAATTAACAAATTACTACACTCATGATTATTACTTTTCTGCCCTACTATCCAAAGACTTGTCAAATCTCAAATACTGAATTTTATGTCAGTTCACAAAAATTTAAGCAAAGACATTTTAAAAAACCCTAAAAAGCAATTTGTCTCTAGCAAGCTACATCACACTGCTTAAGTCCTACTTTCAAAATATTCTTGCTTCTATCATCACAGAGATTGCATCTCTCCTTCAATTTACAGACAGCCCTAAAGATGTACCTTAAAAAGAAAGGCTGTGTTATTTCAGTGAAGAAGGTCTTACTTTCAAGTATGCTGTACCTACTGCAAAAAATAAGCACACTTTCAGCCTGTTATGGTTCTACCATGATGATGCTTTTATTTTAAGCTTTCCACACTTGGAGCAACACATATGAAGACTTTGTTGAAGGTCACATACTCTTTTTTACTGCTTGCACTTCCATTTTTCAATTCCCCAATGCACACAGAAAGTTATGGGTGCATATCTGTTATCTGTGCAGCTGCAAGAATCATATTTTAATATAATAGCATGGGGAATTCTTCTGCTCAGATATATGTGGCTACATGACACCTAGCCAGCTAAACTTTTGTCTTCTTAATAAAGAAGCACTTTTTGGGTGTGACTCCAAGTGCTTACATAGTATGCCTATGATTGACTCATTTGACTACCTCAAATGATTAAGTTGCAAGATAGATACAATAATCATACCCCTAATACAGGTAAACCTGTAAGACTAATATTAAAAAACCATCTAGTTCCCGTTGATGTGCTTTATTTTAAATCTGATCAAATTGTATCTACCCTGCTGTTTATCTACCCTCAGAAAACATATGCCAGTGATCAGACAGTAAAGGAATGGTCACATGTTTTCCAATGTACATGAACCACAATTTTGAATAGCAAGTTAAAAGCAACTAATGCTTCTTAAGAATTCACCCAGTGTTCAGAGTATTCACTCAGTTATAAATCCGTCACTCTACAGTTCTGTCACCACTTTTCTGACCTTATAAAAAGCAGTGTTTCTGGCTGTGTTTTCTTTTAGTGATGGAAATTACAACAATGTACAGAAAATTCAGCAGTGGTGAAAATGCTTTTAATAACCCATTCGTATGTATGAATATGTCACCATACCGATGTATGCTTATTCTTAACCTCTTCTATCTGACACTGTATTATCTGATTTGTTGAAATGTTGCAGCTGATAGCTGTAGTGCTACCAGTGCTCCTACACTGGTAGCCCTACAGACTAAGTAGCAATGGAAGCTAGTTTAAAATACGAGCATTTCTCAGACTACCTCCAGCAAAAATGCAGTTCCAACAGCATAAGGTTTTGTGGTACCACCCAAGAACTTGAAGCCCTATTTCCTAATCGGGTTTCTGAGATGGACTGCAATAATGCTGTTTACTATAAATATTAATTTAAGAGCAACCAGACAATTGATGTTTAAGTGAAATGGTTCACTGGTGCTTTGGGAGTGCTGATCTACACCACTATAAGTATGAATTAATAAAATATATTCTAGTACCTGCAAGCGACCAGTGGAAACAACATAACCTCCCAGTTCATTCCACCTGAAAGGGAAACAAACCAGAATTACTTACAAATCATTAGAAGAAACCCCAAACCCGCACACCAAAACCAGATCATACCATGTATCAACCTGCTCAGTGAAAAAGAGTGACAATTAAAAAACCTGCCACAAAGCAAATGTGATATCCCTGAATAACAGAAAGAGGTGAATGCTCTAGCTTTTGTATTTAAACTGCATGCAAAAAAATCTAGCCTTAAAGTAGAAATATTCCAAAGCCATACAAAATATTTCCTTTGTTCCCCATAAAACAGGGCAACACAAGTGTTGCTAGATTGGGTCTTGAGTACAGAAAAATCACAGTAGGTACAATGTCAATAATGACTGGAAGGCAGAGGCACAAACTGGTTGATTTAAATCTCGCCCTCATACTGATTCTAGGCGTACATGCTGCATACATACATACATACTGTCCAGGTCTTGCCATTCTATGCAGGCCTTAGCTGTACCCCAGAGGTAGAGAACATGAATCAGAAATTAATGCCATTTTGAGGTAGAGAAGCAGTTATGCTCGATGCAGGTAACCCCTGAACTGCTGAATATTTTCAAGTTAGAAGCCTAGCCTGACCGCAGCACTGCTATGGCAAACTTAACACTACGTTTGAGACTCACCGGACTATGCCTACAGAACACAGCATTACATGGATGTACTGATCTTGTTCAGGCTAGTTTGCAGTCGCCATGGTTGTGGCACTGCATGGCAGAGAAAAGCTCCAAGAGAGCCTCTAAGATTTAGCTGGGACTGTTTCTGAATGAAGATATGCTAAAAAGGCAAGGATGCTCTTAATGTAAAATATGAACGCCCACTAGGTGAGTGATGAATTAGGTCTCTAACATGAACACTTGGATCAAAAATTTACTGAACTTTTAATGTGGAAGTTATTTTACTTCTGGCTTTTTGGGACTTGAAAGAATTCAGCTGATTAAATCACTGTACTTGTGCAACAGTCTAAGCAAATACAATTTCTATTTTTAAAAAAAGTTTTAAATTTTTTATGTATGAGTACCATAAAATCCACTGGAAAACACTCGACTCGGTAACATTTAGACGACAGTTATCTTATTAGTATGCCCCAAAAGAAGCCACTTACTAAAATCCAAACGGTGTATTCTTTGCTAAATTTGCCCTGAAATTTAGGAATCCTTTGGTTAAAGTGAAAAAAAAAAAAAAAAATCCAAGACTTTTATATAAATGCACATGGCACAGACTGTAAGTTACATATAATGGTTTGAAGTAAGAATTCCTTATAAGTAGCAGAGCAGCAGCATAATTGTATCTCTATAGATTTTTGAGTGTATTAGTATTACTTAACATGTGCCTCTGACTGCAATCCTTTAGCTATAACTTCATAACAAACTATATTTTTTCTCACTAATTTAAGACTTAATATAAGAAATAATGTAATAGACATAGAAATTCCAGACAACTCTCCACAGAATATATGTTATTCATTATGCATCAATTAAATTACACGTACTTTTCATCTGGCCGCAAGATACTGCAGTAGGAATCGGGTCGATTTACAAAAAACCCAGTCTTCTTTACTACACTTTCCGCAATCACATTCAGTCTGTCAAGGACATTGCAAAGTTTGCTGAGGAGAGAAGAAAAAAAATACACAGTCACGATAGTTTGATACTAAAAAAGTTTTCACTGATTGGAAAGTCTTTAAATAACAGAAATGATTTAAGGGAAGTCTCACATCACAGCTTTATTTATCCAACAGTAATTACGTCTGTAGTTTCCTTAGATTTTGCAGAATTAGGACAGACACTGATGGTATCCGAGCAATTTTGTTTATTCATTAATGAAACAATTGCATAAACCAGATGTGGAAGACTTCAAATATCTAAAAACTTCTTCACTTTTTTATCACATGGTTTTCCTCTACCAAACTTTCTGTGATTTCATATGATTTATGCTAAATCATATTCCCTCATTTTGTTTGCAAGGTACTGTTTTGTTCAGTAACATTTGTTTCTGTGTGTGGTCACCACGATGTCCTGCACCTCCTGCTCAGATCAGGGCATACATCCATTTATTGTTGGGGACTTTAACTTCTGTTTAGTCCTAATATAATTTTCAAATTTTTTATTACAGTGTTTACATTTCAAGTACCAAACCCCATTATTTCTTTTTTAAAGATTGCTTATGCTGAGATAGAAGCAGTATTTTGTAACATTTCTGCCAGTACTACTTTCCAGCAAACTTACTTCAAAACCCAATGTTAAAGCAAACACGTTTTCAGTATTCCTGAAACTGTCAATTCTTTAGGCAGACATACACATTATCTTCCATTCTTAAATATCTCTTGCTTGCATAAATAATTAATCTTCTTCAAAGTCCTCAGATGTTTTTTGTATCTGTGCTAGGGGGGATACGTACATAAATATAACTCAAGCTTAAAGCTAGAATCATTTCCCGTATAGGACAGAACACGAAGCTTCATCAGCATCACTCCCTATGAAACCCAAGAACTGGCATCTAGCGTATCTTCTGCAAGGTTATCCAGCCTTATTTTGAGATTTCCTATTTAATCGTAACACAAACAATTGCATATACACTTAACTGTACACACTAACATTTTAGAATAAAAACGTCATGTGAAACCACATCAAATTTTAAAGTAACAGTTTCACCCCACGTGACCAACCACATCAACCAATTTGTAATCTCAAATAATGAATAAGGATCATTTCTACAGCTTTTTTCATAAAATTTTATCTACAAATATTAATTATATTCCTGCCCTTTGAATCGTACCAGTTTTTCCATTGTTACTGATACAGTAACAGATACCGGAAAGTTGAGCCAACAATTCCTGTCATTCTTCTACAATTTTTGGCGTAAGATACCGTAGGCCTACGCTGGTCAGAGAATGTTACAACGGAGTTGTGTGCTACTTAAGAATAGCTGTTTATACCTGTAGATTTAAAATGTTTGTATCTTGTAAGTATTTCTATATTTAGGAACACAATCATCTTTTTCACAGGGTACTAGTACTGCATTCTATTCTCCACAATTATGGAGTAAAAACAAAGGCAAATATATTCTGTAACTAAGATACATGCTTCTACTAATCTAAATGTTTTGTAACACTGAAATTAATGCCCTCACCTCCTTTTGGAAGAGGAAATGGAAAAAAAAATTATTGATATGAAATCCCTTGATTTCCAAAATTCTGTGACTGAATAAATTCAATGACTGAAATGGAACACTTGACAAAATGCAGCATTTTGGCTAATTCAAAATACAAACATTGTTGATGGCTTTTTGGTGGCTTTTCTCTAAAATTTTCTTTTGCAGGGAATTTCAAAATTTTCAGGCCTTGCTCCACTTTGGTAAGAAAGCACACAAACACTAAAAATTCTTCAAAAAGATGAGGTTTTATTCTGTCCCCAGATCTTCATAAAATTCTCCCATCATTCCCAATCTACGTTCAGCTGAAGAGAGGGACACTCAGTAGCACACTGTTATTTGTATTGTGCCTACGAGCACTAGTGCAAGGAAGGATCTTTTCTACCTTTTAGTGTATTTGGCCATATCCCAGGGTATATATATAATTGCATGTTCTGGGGGTAAAAACTGGTTGAGATATGTCACAGCAGCAACAAGTTCTTCACTAAGAATTCTTTCATGCTTTCTTTTTTCACGTTCCTTTAGAAGAAGAAAGGGAAGTTAACATTACGATTTTCATTAACAAATGTATGTAAACTGTAAACCTATACATGTATGTATACATAACACATATTAAAGTGGAAGCTGTTGCAACAATGGGCAGTTCTTCATAATTATTACAATTAATAACAGAGAAGACAGAAAAACCTAAACCTGCTGGGTTTTTAACAGCTGATGTATTAGCAGTAAAATTTACCTAACTCAGCTGTCCACAGTCATTGGCTGAAAAATAAAGCCCTAGAAGAGCAAATAGAACCACAAGGAAACAAAAGTGGTTATACGGTGGAAACGGACAAAGACAAAAGAGAAGGAAAAGGACAGACAAAAATGAAAGTATCCAACTCAGTTCTGCGGTACAAGAGGATCCTGGCAAATTCTTCAGCAAGAATTTGTTCTTCTGGGAACAACAGCTCCCATCTCCCAGCCTTGCAATAATTAAAAAAAAATAGTATTATCTTGCCATTCTCTGATTATACCATACATTTTGGCATTACATATTAACATGGCCTTCGTCTCAACTCCATCCAAAGTAAAACCTATACTGAACTTATAGAAACTGCTTTAAATATATGATAGTAGTCATAAATAAACCACCCCAAGGGAAGCCTAATACATTCATTGCTAGTTAACAAGTTTCTAGGATACACAGAGAGAAGACGACATAGATTTATGTTTCATCAACATTTAAGAAATCAAATAATAAAAGTACTGGAGACAGAAACTTGGCATTTGTGTAAAAGCAACAGCAACATCCAAAAACAGGGTGTTCAGGTTTGGAGGCTTCCCCTTCCCTCCTTTTTTTTTTTTTTTTAAGCGGTACATAAAGTAATAAAGGAACATGAATTTTATCATCTTAGCATCAAGCATCCACAGAGAGGGAAATGTAGATGCATTTTCAGCCACCGTAGCAGTCCTGTGAATAAAAGCATATAATTCACGTGTCAAGGTCATGTGAGCCCAGACTCACACTATCACAAAGGGTTTTGAAAGCTATGGCTGCAAGAGATAAAAATTATTTTTTTTGTCAACAAATGCTATCCTAAGTTGATTCCACAGACTCTTGGAGAGTCTTAAAAGCACTCCTACACAGGGAAGCTTCTAGAAACAAAGTAGGTTATCTAGCTGCCATTTATGAGAAGAGTTTTAAAAGCTTTTCTTTCGTATTTTCCCTCTTTTTTATCCTAGGAACAGATCCTTCATGCACATAAAATATATTTTTCTACTGCATACAGTTCTACAACATGATGAATTAAATATTTTTTTAAAGACTAAAAAGAAGTAAGATACAATTAAAGCAAAACAAATCAATACATTAAACTCAAATATGGAATCAGACACTATCACAGAAAATGTCTGGATCAGAACAGAAAAAAAAAATCCCAAAACCACACAAAACCACAAATATAAGACATAGTAGCCAAAATTACAGGGCAACTCAGAACCAGGCTTTGTACCACAGCCTCTCAGGCAGCAGTGAACTGAATAACTGTAGAAATCATTAAGCTCCCCCATTAGTCCAGCCCTGGTGCCACTGTCAGCATCAGATGCTTCAGTTTTCTCTCCCGCTCCTACTTCCATGACTCTACCAGACTGAGCAAAGAACAGAAGATAAGTCTTCATTGTAATAATCACAGTATTTCAAATAACTCAGTTACCTGTGTCAAGAAGTCTACAAACCTCACTTTGCATGAAACCATACTATTTTAGCATTTTTTAGTGCTAACTTAAGTTTACTGGTAAATTTATTTGGACCTTTAGTCTATATAGAGACTATACAGAAATAAGCATCTTATTGAAAAATTAGAAAACATATAGAACATATTCAAAATATTTTACCTTCACAAGATTCAAAATGATAATGGGAGAGCCAAATCTCTGAAGCATTTGGTCAAAGTGAAGAGCAGCAACATGTGCAAAAGGATCTGCTTGGTCCACTGCAACAAATACATATATTCAGGACTACATTAAGTGAACTGTAGTCACTTAAATAATTTTCCCTTAAAAGTACTCTTCACAAACTACATACTAGTTCTCTAATAATAATGACACAATCACATATTCTCCCCTCTTTTCATGCAAAAGCTGTGAAAAAAATCTTCCCCTTTCCAAATTGGAAGTGAGTTAACCAAAAACTCTCATGAGATGCTTACTAAGTACAATTATTCTGGCCCCATTAAACTCAACTGAGATGTTTTTCACCATTTTCAACAGGTTCAAAATTGTACTCACAATACAAAGATACAAAATTGCATCTTCCTATACAAAATAATAAGCCCTAAGAAAGTGAACTTCTTGAAACATAAGTTTTTCATATTCCATTTCTGAATGTAAAGTCTAAGACGGAGATTTTTTTTCTAATCAATTTCATCAAATGCAGCTTTTTTTTGGTTGAATGTTTGTATGTCATGATGTTTACTATAAAGAATATTGGTTTACCTTAAATTATAGCTTCCCAAAGACAAAATGCATAGACAATTTACTAATTTTTACAAATGTAGTTTTCCTTGACTCTCTCAGGTGTTTCTTTAGGACACTGCGCTAACCATAAACTACCACAAAGAATAATCTGTACATACACGTTATGGGTGGCTTAGGCATCATAGTTGAAATATCTTGAGACCAGTACAGAGGGACAGATCCTCGAACCTGAACATAGGAAGAATAACTCCCCGCAGAAAATGACATGACTGAAGCATCATAAAGTATTTGTTCAGTTTCCACTTCATTGGCAACATCTCCCTAAAACAAAGAGAAATACACATGATGTAGACAAACTGATCATTACAGAGTACAATTAAACTGTAAACCACAAAATCATAGCAGTGACAACACCACTGAAGTTTAAATTCCCATTTGTCCCTAAATGTATTTTATCAGATTTTTTTTCTCTATTTGGGAAATAACTTTAAGCGTAAAAAAAACCTGCCGATTAAGAGTCACTGTTTGAAGAACAGCATTATTATCTAAATTAAAATTCAATTAGAGTTGTGATAATGTTATCTAATAGCACAATTTACTAACAAAGCCCGAACAACGCTCTAAAACATATAAGTTCTCCAGTTAGTCAAGCTCAAGCTTTCCTATTGTTGGGGGGGCAGAGAGGAAGCCTTAAACCCACATTTCATTTACCTCACAGTTTGCTCCTCGTTTCAGAAAACGTGTTCCAGCAAATTTGCTTGATCTTCTGGCTATCAGAGTGACATATATAGGGCGACCATATATTAACAGTTCTTTAAAAAGAAGTTAAGGTTTACCTGTCAAGTACAAATTTTGTTCAATTACTTCATGCGAGCAAAAATAAATTCTAAGAAAGCTGTATAAAAGTGAAACATCTGATTTACTAAAATCTCCTTAACAGTGATGAGTATCACTTCCAAAGTTTTTTTGCAGATGAGCAAGAGCACTGCCATTTTCAACAACTGTTTTGAAGAACTCTGAAAAGGGAATCTGCATTAAAATATATCAACCACTTTTCACAACATGCAGAAAAGAAGTATTTCTATTTTACAAAGTGATAATGGAGGCAAGATTCACCTTGGGCTGCAAATACTGCTTTTGTGAATACTGGGATTAAAGCCCAGGAGCTTCTACTTTCATATCAGGTATATTAGTCCCCCTTTAACTATTTGATGGAAAAGAAGATAAATTTTCAACTACTTAAGTAACACCAACTGAAAGCCAGAAGCAAACAGCTATGGATGTAGTGATGGCTTTCTCCTAGGCTTTTTATTTTTTATTAAAAACAAAAAAGAGAGAATCAGATGTCATGTGACAATCACTGCTTCCTCTCCTGTGATTGGAGCACCTCTCCTGTGATGAAAGGCTGAGAGAATTGACTTCTTCAGCTTGGAGAAGAGGAGGCTCCGGAGAGACCTTATAGCACCTTCCAGTACCTGAAGGGGCTACAAGGAAGCTGGGGGGGACTTTTTACAAGGGCCTGTAGTGACAGGACAAGGGGTAATGGGTTTAAATTGAAAGTGGGGAGGTTTAGATTGGACATCAGAAAGAAGTTCTTCACGGAAAGGGTGGTGAGGCACTGGAACAGGTTGCCCAGAGAAGCTGTGTAATATGATACTGTTGATGATTAAAATATAGTGACTCTCAAATATACTAAATTTTTAGCAGCTAAGATGATGACATGACATTTCTTTGGAGTGTGATATGCATTTGGGCGGCTTCTACTACTACAATGCACATAGACCTATTACCCACTTTAAATGATATATAGTCAGGAAAAAAAATATTTTTAGATGTTCTAGTGTTTACTTAACATTTCACACAGGAAGCATAAAGTTCTATCATCACCTTCAACAGAAAGATAATTTCTGCAAATCTCAGTTACTAAAAAAATGTTTTAAAGGTGATTAGTAAGAGAACATTTCTATGTCAGCAATTCAGTTGTTTGGTTTTTCTCCCCTTTCTCAAATATCAGTTAAAAATACAGCTGAGCTTTAAAATCCTCTGCAGTTCTTTATTACTAAAACCCATGCTTACAAACAGTGCCTCACTAAGAATCTAGTCTACCTGTGTCAGGACCTTGTAATAAGAACATCAACATATTCCTGCTCAGCCATAGAAAACTAATGAAAATAAAAGCCAATGAATAATTCTAAAATTGAACAGTATTTACATGACAAAGAAATAACTAAATGTATTTCACACCTTCAAACTTATAAAGTTGATAAACCAACATTCGTTACAACAGTACAAGGATACTTGATTGCCCACAGAATCCATGAATAATATACAGCAGCCAGTCACGATGAACAGTATTTTTTACCACCTCCAGAAGCTTGCCATTCCACACGTACTTTTCGTAAGGCTTACTGCAAATCCCAAACACACCTAGGAAGTCGTTACAATGAAAATGCATTAGGAATTAAGAAAAAAGTTTTCCTGCATTGGACTGTTTTAAAATCTGTGTCATTAGATCTTTAATTCGATTTTACCTTGACTGCAATTCAACATATGATTTCCTCACATCCTTGAAGATTGCTAAAGACAGATAACTTCAGACACATGCTAAAGCTTAGCATTTACAAAGATTTCCAATTTGTCTATGGTTGCCAGTCACTGTGTTATCTGAGTGCCTTCATGCAGAAGTTCCTGATACTTCCAGTACTGAAATCTCTGCATGGCGGCCACCGAAAATATGAAAACACAGGAAATAAATCAAGTTGCGAATTGCAGTTAAGGCATAAGCTTTTCAATTCTGGGTCACCTCTGGAGTTACCTGGTAGGCTCTGGAAGACCATGCATAGCCCTGGCTCCCTTTATTGAAAGCATGTCAATCCCCTTGTCACATAATTTCTAAGGTGTGAGAAGACTTTATAGCGTGGCCAGCAGGTCGAGGGA